GGAAGTGGGGTGCAGGGACCCATAGTGACAGGGAACTTGCAGGGACATATAGGGACATAGGTAGATGTGCCTCAGTGACTGGGAGAGGCTAAGGGTCAGCCAGGACCTGCATGGGGGAGGCTCTGCCAGTACCTAACAATCACCCCTTTCCCCCCAACAGTACCCTATTCTGTACTTCTATACCCAATAAGCCTTCAGATTCCCCCTCCAGGCTTCTTTCCAGGAATGACTTCCCTCTCTTTCAGCTCCTCTGTTACCTTTGACTCCCCCAAATCTTTGCACTGCATCTGACAGGTATGGGAAACTCATCTCAATATAATACAGGCAGTCCCCGGGTTACATGGATCCGACTTACATCGGATCCCTACTTACAAACGGGGTGAGGCAACCCCGCACTAGCTGCTTTTCCCCCTAGCAGACCAGGGAGACGCAAAGCGAGCCCCCCACTCAGCAGACTAGGGAGACGCGGAACGGCTTTTCTCAGCAGACACCTCAGCTTGAGAATAAAGGACTGAGGGAAGTGAGGTGTGGGAGAATAAAACTGAGCTCTGGAGAAATGTTTGGCTAGTTTCCCCTACAATATGTACCAGTTCCGACTTACATACAAATTCAACTTAAGAACAAACCTACAGTCCCTATCTTGTACGTAACCTGGGGACTGCCTGTAGTTTAAATGAATGATTATTCCAAGTTCTATAGTAATATGCCTAGTAAGGAATTGCTTGTCAAAAAAAAAAAAAAAAAAAAAAAACTCCTTTGTCTTTTTTCATCATCTGTATTGTCACAGAGATACTTGATGGGTATTTTGAAATAAATTACCAAAATAATTGAAACTAGTTTGATTATATTGTGCTATTTTGACACATAAAATATGCAGAATTTTAAAAAATGGTGATAGTTTTTATTTTTTGGGTGCATAACGCACTCACAAGTAACAATGTGCATATGTAGTAACTGCTTGTTAATTTCCAGATAATTAAGGAACAGACCAAATATGGAATTTAGGAGCACTGCATCTCTGGTCTTGTGTCACAGGGTCCCTATCTCCCACAATTCTAGTGACCTTTAGACTTACTTACTCACTGCCTTATTGTGCACGTTTCCCAATTCCTGTTAAAAACCACTATACTACAACACTTCTCCGTGCCACATTGGTTTTGTCTCTCTCTTTGCTGTGGAGCTTTGATTATGTATAGTGATATTTTCATTACCATGCACCCAACACTGTTACTCTAAACATGGTTTCCCAGACAAAAACCTGATACACTTATTACTACAGTTTAGAAACATATATCTTTGCAAAGTACCATGGGGGTATTTTCCCAATGAATGTGGTCAAATGAATTACTCTGGAAACAACCACAATTTTCTAACTATAAAAACATCAATATCTACTCACATAAATAATAAAGGAGGTTTACAGAAATATATCTTTTGGGATAGATTACAGTTAATGGAACAAACAGACAAAGAAACAAATAAATAAATAAAGAGATGGGCTTCAAGACATGAAAGGTTAGTTTTGCTGCAGTGATTATTCCTTCCTTCTCTAAGACTCCATGAATGAAGATCTTAAAACAACTTTATGGGAGAAAGGCTACAGTAAAAGAAAAAAAAATCAATAAGGCAATCAAACAGTTTTCTAAGATCTCAAGGCTATTGCACTGGCATACAAAGTGAAATTGCATTTTACAACATAACTATTTTAGGCCCTCTTTTTCAAGATTATCTGTGAAATATAAACGGTAGTGTAAAGTGCGAGGTTTGCCTATGGGATATACATCTATATCTACCCTAGAGGTACAGTTAATATATCTGACACTCAGATATGGGATTCAGCATTGACAGTGCTATTTTGAATGGGCAAACTTTGCTGTGAAGTTTCTTGGGTATAGTATGTTCCAGTGGAAGATGGAAAAATACACTTGGCTGCCTCTGTCCCAGGCACTTCTGATTATTTTCTTCATGGAACTGCCAAATGTTTAAATACATCAAGATAAATTTCATGCTGTGTTATCACTGAACCTTGGGCATGGTGGATAGAATACTGTTCAGTCTGCCAAGGTCTAAATGTGCGCTGCAATGTGTGAAAAAGATCCAAAATGAACAAAATTATTCATGCAGAAGACTCAAAATGCTGTGGAATTCATTCCTTTAATACAAATAACACTTCTGATAACTTGAGCTTCATGATTCTTTTTTTCCCTGAAATAAATCATAGCAATACAAATTTATAGCTAATGTATGTAAATTTGGGAGTAAAATGAGGGATGTCCATTGAAATGGGGGACATTTGAGACATATGGCTATATAAAGCAGAAGTATGAATGCCATATGTTACAATTAGTTGGAGCCAAAATCTGCTCTCTGTTACACCATGTAAACCTGTAATAACTCAATTGACTTCAGTGTCAGCAACAGCAGAATCTCCGCCAAAGTACAATTCTCTGAAACATTATCCTGTAAAAACAGCATTGCAGGGAGTCCATGTTTATTTTGTCTAAGTGACTTCATATTGGCAACAAGGGGCTGGGATTTCTCCTTCTTTTGCACCAGTAATAGAGTTGGTCAGCAAATGGGAAAAATAAAATAATGAAATTTAATTCTATTTTCCTTCACATTTATTTTTGTTGAAATTGTCTCACTAGGGCCTAAACAGCAATAAAATGTTCCAAGCTAAATGATGCCCTCATTTACATCTCTGCAAAACAATTGTCTGAGAAGTATGCCCCTGGTTACACCTGTGCAGCACTATACTTTATGGTAATCTGAACAGCAGGGTGCTATAAGCACGTTCAGAATTCAGATATCAATATTAATCCAAAATGACATGCCCAAGATTCCTAAGGTATTTAGAAGACAGTTTTATGTTCCAGAAAGTAACAACCACAACAAAACAAAACCTGGCTGCTTCTAACAGTTGAAGACTGAAGAGTGACTGAGAGTAACAGATAAACTTGGAATCTGTGCCTTTGTGCTACTGCATCAAAGCAAACAATTTATAAATTGCAATAGCATAAAGGCATTAGATTTCTAGGAACTGAAATATCTGATGAACAAGGTACATGAGAAAGAGTATTAAAAAATCCACTAGAATCATAGAATCATAGAGCTGGAAGAGACCTCAGGAGGTCATCAAGTCCAGCCACCCCGCCCAAGGCAGGACCAATCCCAACTAAATCAACCCAGCCAGGGCTTGGTCAAGACTCTTATGGAAGAAGTTTGCGGAGTCCACTCTTTCATCTAACATCCACTCTTTCAAAAGCACAATATTATAAAATAAATACATATATAACAACAACAACAATAATAATAATAATAATATAACAGCACCTAAAAGTTCACAGAATGAAGGCAAGCTTCTTGGTCTGAATTGCTTACAGTCCAATATCAGACATAACACAATGAAAGAAATGACAAAAGAGCAAAGGAGGGGGTTGTGGTGGAAAGACTGGCCTTGCAGCAGTATGATAATGCAATTACTCAGCAAAGGCTTGTGCGCAGCACGGCGGAGCAAAATCATTAAGAATAAAAATTAATTAACAATAAAACAGACTATTTTTCCTCAGAAAAAGAAAAGTGCAAGAAATAGGAAAGGGACAGTGGATTGTGTGACAGTACAGAGATATGAGGGCAAAACATGACTCTGACATGGAAGAGAGGAAGTAGTCAGACAAGAACATTCAGAATATGTGGGTAACAAAAGTCTAAATGAATTGTTCCTGTCCCTGAGGAAGTCTGAACTGAAAAAAACAAAACCCAAATTGGTTGGGAAAGGTACATTGTTATAGTGGCAAGGAGTCCTGTGGCACCTTATAGACTAACTGAAGCATAAGCTTTCATGGACAAAGACCCACTTCGTCAGATGCATGTGACAAAGTGGGTCTTTGCCCATGAAAGCTTACGCTCCTACACGTCAGTTAGTCTGTAAGGTGCCACAGGACTCCTCGCCACTTTTGCAGATTCAGACTAACACAGCTACCCCTCTGATACTTGTACATTGTTAAGCAAATGGAAAACTAGCTAAAAAAGCTTTAGATAAAAAACCTGTCAACAAAGGCTAAAAGATACTTGGCAGTGGACAGAGTTGTGGGGAGGCATCTAAAAGTCAAAACACTTTTATTTATCTGCATCATTAATGCCAACATGGTTCTTGCTCCAAAAAGCCTGCATCACTTTTTATTTCACTCCATCACTTCTTTTATGGTGTCCACAAGAAATGAACTAATAATAACGATTCTCTACAAAAAAAGCAACAACAAAACGAAACTGAATCATCTAAAAGCGCGCATGCCCAAATAACTATCAAATTCTGTTGCTATAACTAACCATTGTCTTTCCTTACCCTGCTTCCTCTCCAATTTTTGTTTCCCCACCATCTCTCCAGCCCCTTTATGGCTGGAAAAGAGCTGGAGTAGAGTAAAACGGTTCTAAAAGCCCTGGATCCAGCTGAGAGAAAAATGTTGTTGTGCAGAACTGCAGATGATGCCCTGGCATAGAATTGGCTGAAAGGGTTTGTCGGGATGGAGCTCAAGCACTGAGCATGGAAGAGATTCAGGGCTATGTTATTGCCTTACATTGGCATTGTCAGGTCTAAATTATACCAAGGCCTCTCTATGACCCCTGGGGCAATTCACAATCAGGAGACCACAAGGGTGACTTATTGCCACATGAGTTCCTCCTCTCTCATTTAGAGGCAGAGCACAGAAGCTCACTCATAAAGTAAAAAAACCATGGGTGATCCTGCCCACTGACTGTGCAATTGGACCCTCATTGACTTCAGTGGGGCTCCATACAAATACAGCAGTTTGCCTGCACAGTCAACTACAAAATCGGGAATTTTAACTGTAAGTGCCTCAGGGCAGAAACCTTCTCTCTGTTCGTATTGTACAGCATTTAACATACCATAAGTGGCATAGAAATTGATCAATAATAAATATAAACCACAGCTTCACATTGTCTATAAAATGTATATAACAAAGGACACTAGATATTCTTACTTTCTTCAGAAAGATCATTTTCTTCTGCTTCTCTCTCCATCTCTTTACACCATCCTTCCATCCTCTTTGTTTCAGTATGTAGTAACTTCATAAACCAAGATCCATCCCTTCGACATGGGGACATCCGACCTGTTTCTACTGTCTCAATGGCTGGTTCCAGCCAGGGTTCTGGAGGTGGAAGATTTGAGGTGTCAACCGGGGTCCTGTAGTCTTCTCTGTAACTGAACAGTCCCTGTGTCCGTACAGTTCTTACTGCACCATATTGGGTAGGAGTGCTAGGCTCTGAATGCCTCTGGAATGATGAACCAAATTGAAGTCCCTTGTCCTCCATTGTTATATGTCCTGGAAAGCCCTCCAGTTCTAGGTCAGCCTGAACAGCTGCTGTTACACTATTTGAACGTTTAAACCGTCCATGTCTTCAGCAAGGAGAAATAAAGACAAATAGATATATAGTGAGGGAATAATGTACTGGCAAAACAAATCTGATTTTCTTTCTGCATCTAATACTAAAGCATATTTTTGCTGACATACAGGATGTTTAATTCATCTTTATAAAAAACACCCTGTTTAGTCATTTTATACAAGAGAGTGGATGACAATGCAAAAATAAGCACATATATAGGTGATATGGGGTCATTATTGATCTGAATAAAGATGTAAGTGAACATAATTTAAACTATCTTTGAAAGCAAATATTGATCTTTCTACACATTATATTATACTGCACATACTTGATAATCAGCATAGGAAATTAGCATCAAAGACCTGCAGTCCTGCATATACTGATGAAATGAAGTTTGTCAAAAAATATAGAAAACGGTTTCAAAAGTAAGAGTCCTATTCAAAGACATTCTGAGTTAAGGTCATTGAGAATTTTGTAATAAATGTAAAATCTGATAGGGAGTTGATGTGGCTTTATGTTTTTAGTTGAACATGGTATAGAATTACCATGATATGGTGAGTGACTCATGATAATTTTATCGTGGATAATGAAACACTAGAATCAATTTATATTAAATAGTTGAAACAGAGGGCCAAAGGAGTATTCATAAAAATACAGGTCAAATTTAGCTCATGCCAATTGTGAGTAAAGGTTATATGACAGAGTCAGAACAGAGGGCTACAGAAGAGGTACATTAGCCCCAGATTAAATAGATCCCTTTGCCCTGTGTCAGCTAGCAGGGGCTACTCCAGGTTAGTCAAATCACCTAGAGTCAATCAGGAACTTTCTAGGACCAATTAAGACTGGTTCCAGATATCCTGCTTAGCTTATTAAGACTCAGCTAGCGCTGGTTAAAAGATTTCCCTCAAGTTACTTCACAGTGTGCAGGAAGAGGGAATAGGAAGGTGTGTTTCTGGAGGACTGGGAAGTACAAACACTATCTGGTAACAGGAGGAAGGTCCTGCAGTAAGGATGAAGAAGGTGCTGGAGAGCTGCTGTAGGGAAGTGGCCCAGGGATTCACAGCTGTCATGTTGCTGGCTCAGGAGATGTTCCAGACAGCTGCTATCCACAGGATGCGCCTAGGCTGGAACCTGGAGTAAAGGGTGTGCCTGAGTTCCCCCACCTCCCAATTCCCTCTCTATGTCATGGGAGAGTTGGCCTGGGCAATGAGACTCATCTGAGAGGAAGGGGTGTCTGGCTTGTCCCTGACCCACTAGCAGAGGCAGAAGAGACTATTGGGATTGGTCTCCTCCATTTCTCCTGCTGGCTAATGATGAGGATGGCTAAGTATACAGCAAATATCTGCCCCTAGGGAATGTGTCTTCACTGTGGGTGGCTGTAAACCTCTGAGATGAGCAGTCCTGGCAGAGAAGGAGCTGTGTGACAGCGATTGCTAACCCTAAAGGCTGTTTGAAGGCTTCTGTGAAATGAGACAGTGGTCCTAGTCTAATGCCTTATGATCAAGTGACTAAATAAAAAACACCACCACCTCTAGAATTGGCACATTTGTCAGAAGTCTTAGCATACTGGACAAGGATTGACTGCCCATGGAAACTGCCTCCTAGACATAGTCAGGTCAGGGTTGAGTTAGTTTGCACCCCGCAAAAGGACTGCATAGCATAGAAATTCATCCCTGGGTATCTCTTTGCAGGGCTGGTGCTTCAGTGTGCTTGCATCTGTTCTGTGATTCCTCTCATTATTAGGAGCCATAAATTTACCTTACAAACATTAATCTTCCCTTCCCCCAACTAAAGAAAAAAACTGCAAACTAAGTAAATATGAACAGAAAGCTAAAACATCTCATACAACATTAACAGTTGGCACATACAAGCTTGGCCTTGTGAATTAGTCATTGATAACACCATCTATGTTTTTGCTAGCAGTTTATTCACAAAAGTTGTTTGTCTTCTAAAAGATTACACATTTTTTTGACTGAGTTACCGTTTCTCATCTTCTACTTGCACTCCCACAGAATGGTATTCCCGTAGGCCTCGGCTCTCGGTGTCTGAATCAGTTGCTGTTTCCACCTAATTCAACATAAAAGATACATCTGCAGAAATGAACATTGACAATCCAATATTATTTCTACCTAACTTTATTTAAATGCATTATATGTTTCCTTAATTATTTCAAAGAAACATCTAACCCAGTAAAATCATTTAAACGAGCATTCAGTCTGGTATCATTGTTTTGGTGCTGTGTTGTATAAAACTGCATATCCACTTCTGTCCTGATCTGTATTTCCCTTTCTTAAATCTATGCAGATCCAAATACTCAGTTTAATGCTGGCAGAAAGTAAGACTGGCTCAACTATCCTATTATTAGAACTTGGAACCCACAGGTTGGCTCCTTCATATATTACTAGGGGGCTGTGCCCCCTGCTCACTATGCTTGCCACCCTCCTCTCTGGGGGCAGGTGCCTAACTGGGGAGGAGGGGGCAGGAGCACGGTGGGGGCAGGGTGCAAGAACAGGGAAGAGTGCAGGAGCAGGCTAAGGGTAAGTGTCTGGCCAAGGGGGACGGTGCAGGAGCAGGTTGGAGATAGGTGTCTGGCCTGGGGGAGGGGACAGGAGTGGACTGGGGATTTGGGGTCTCAGTGGAAGAGATGAGGGGACTGAGGGGGAGTCGGGCGTGGATGGCAGAGGGAATGTGAGGGGCCCAGCTGGGGAGGGTTGGGCTTGGATGGCAGAGGGAACCCAGCCCCAGAAGGTCCTCCCTGGTGGCGTAGCCCTCGAGGGTGTGAAGCGGGACCTGGAGCTGGAACAGTCTATGGCTGGAGGGGTGTCACTGAGACTGCCCACAGCAAGTGGCTGAGAATGGAAGCGGATGGCAGTAGTGGCATGACGATGCAGATGACATGATGACATCACCGTGTTGTCCCACAGGAAATTTTTTTTAATATATAGAGAGTGATTAGGGAATGATCTCATGATATCCGATGATTTACAAAATAAATTAAAGAAAATAGCCCCATAAAAATTGCAAATCATAAAAAGAAATGTTATAATGAATAGATTCTATTGACAACTGCGTAGAGAAATACAGAAATATATAAGTGAAAACAATACCACAAAATACCCTAGGCCATCTTTCTTAACAAGACAGTCTTGAGAATACTAGATAAATTAAATCAGGAATTTTAAATTGTATTCCCATCTGGAATACTCTTACCAAAATATATTCACAGTAGTTTTCACCTTAATTGGCACTACATATCTATCAAAAAATACGGCAGGATTTTATATAAGCACACACACACACACACACACACACACACACACACACACACACACGCACACAGACACACACACACACACACTAATGTTGCAGCCAAAAAAATAATTAAAATAAGTTTTGTTCACTTTTGGAGGATATTTTGTTCTTTAAACAAAATAAATGGTAGTTAACAATAAGTATAGTTATTATGAAATATGTTTCCATAACATATTGTGAGTAGAAATAATTGTTAACTTAAGATACAGTGTTGTTTTGAAAAGGGATTGTATAAAATTGGCAACTGTGTATTCACAGTCACAGCTGCTGACTTAATAACAAAAATATATTTCTAGTAGCTTTTACTCCTATTAGTTAACCATATTGAGCCAACATAGATAAAGTAAAATAAACTGGATTCTATTTCTTCTAGTCCATCATCCATAGAATTATTTAGTAAATTACATTTAACAAACCGATTAAACCTGCATAAACATATTAAAGACAATGGCGTTGCACAGATCTCACTAGGAGAATCATCTGAAGATAAAGGTAAGATCATGGCTATTTAGCCAAATATTTAGCCTCCATACGCATTGCCCAGCACCTCAGAAACATCAGAGCAGATTTCCCTGTGTTCCATATGGGCTAAAATCTTTCCACTAATAGAACAATTTGGGAACATCTCCATGGTGAAAGCCTGTCAAAGATTTCTTCTTCCAAGGTGCCCTCTGAAGGAGCGCTAGATGACTATAATTTACCCAAAATGTAACCGACACAGAAATTTTTAGGAATCTATCTATCTATCTATCTATCTATCTATCTATCTATCTATATATATAGTTGATCTACACTGAACTGTTATATTACTGAAACACAGTTATCAGTAAAATTGCAGTCCAGGTGTCAAAATAGCCTGGCACACATTTCTTGTAAACAGAAACTCTGCCAAATTATCCTCCCATCCAGCTTGCCAAGGCTGACACTCACTAAAATGTTCTGATAATTGCTTTCACATTTTAATACCTTACATTTGCTTGCTGTGCCCTGCAGCAGAAGGAAGATGCCAAATAAGGACTTTTAATGTAATTTGGAGAGCAAATATCGCAACACCTGACAAACAGAAAACAAACCTACAAAACGGAGGCAAATGCTGAAACAAGTAAAAGCAGAACACAATAGTTTTATCTAACAATGGTGGGGGGTAGGAGGAGAGAGAACAATTCCTGCAAAACGCAGGCAGCATATAGTCATCATCTGGGAAAGAAAGGGAGATAATTCTAATTTGATCAGAATGGCCAGGTTTAGAGGTTTTCAAGAATTTTTCAACTAAATGTTGTTTTGTAAAAAAAGCTGATTTATCAGAAACATTTTGCAGAAATGTATTAATTTCAACAAAATCTTTTGAAGGTTTCTCAGGAAGAAATATTTTGCCACAAACAGAAAGCCCCACTTTGAGCTAATAGCTCAATGACTGGGACACTCTCCAGGGCTGCAGAAACTCTGGTTGATATTCCACTCTATTTGATTTGAACCATAAACTTATACATGAGTCTCTCACACCCTAGGTGAAGGTCCTATCTACTGGGCTTGTGGCTGTCCTGAAGTAGGTTTTCTGTTTTTTTGTGAAATAGTCTGAAATGTATTCGTTTCATCTTGATGCAGAACAACAATAATAGAACCGAATAGAATTGCTGTCTTCCAGGCAGCCTTAGTTTAGTTTACATTAGTCTGAACATATAGACCGGTGGTCCAACTAACCCAGTATCCTATCTTCTGCTAGATTCTTCAGAGGGAATTAAAAGAATAGGGCACTTATCAAATGAACCATCCCCTATCATCCAAGTCCAGCTTCTGGCAGTGAGAGGTTTAGGAACGCATGGAGGCTGTCCGATGTTGAGGCAGGACCAAGTATATCTAGATCATCCTTCATAGGTGCTCTCCCCTCCAATGGCTTTTCAATCAAGGTTGGCATCATACAAAATTTTATAAGTATTCAAAGATTTTCAGAAAGCCTTTGACAAGGTCTCTTGCAGCAGGATCTTCAGAAAAGTAAGCAGTCATGGGATAAGAGGAAAGATCCTCTCATAGATTATTAACTCGTTAAAAGACAGGAAACAAAGGGTAGGAATAAATTAGTGTTCAGAATGGAGAGAAATAAATAATGGGCTTTCCCGAGGATCTGTACTGGAACCTAGGCTGTTCAGCATATTGACAAATGATCTGGAAAAAGGGGTAAACAGTGAGAGTACATCTACACTAGCCCCCTAGATCTAGATCGATCTAGGGAGGCTAATGAGAGTGACCGGAATTGCAAATCAAGCCCGGGATTTAAATATCTACACGCGGCAGTAAAACTGGCTTCTGATTTAAAGCCCTAAATCAAATTAGGTGGTATTCCTCCTGCAATGAGGTTTACCACCTAATTCAAATTAGGGGCTTTAAATCGGAAGCCCGTTTCACTGCCGCATGTGGACGTGGGCAGTTACTTTGGGCTAGTCAATTTATAAAAATGGCAACTGGCCGGGAACATGCAATATTTAAATCCTGGGCTTGATTTGCAATACTGGTCACCCTTATTAGCCTCTCTAAATTGATCTGGGGGCTAGTGTAGACGTACCCTGAGATAGTAGTTTGCAAACAATACCAAATTACTCAAGATAGTTAAGTTGAAAGCAGATGGAAAAGAGTTAAAAAGGGATCTCATGAAACTGAATAAATGCAAATAGAGTGTAGCTTGATTTGTTTTGCAGCCGCTCAGTGAACTGAGAAAAGAAACATTATTTGCTTGGTTCTTTTAGCTTTTAATGTTTAGCCAATAGATGGCACCACTTATTTCAGCATTATTGGTCAGCTCTGAACATAGGCTCATTGAAAATAACATAGTGGGGTTTCAGATTTACTGTCTTTCAATGAATTCCAAAGCAAATAGTTCTGATTAAAAGAAAACAGACCTCAACCTGTGCTGAAAGCAAAGCTGGGTTTTTCCCCTTTCCCTCATCACTAGCAATAAAAAGTTTTGCACACCACATTATGCTTCTCACGACTCCATGTAACCTCATTTCTAATTATGGAAAAGACTTTGGCTCACTCTCCCTTACTTGTATTGGCTTTCAGAGGTAACAAGTAAACAGCAAGAAACCCTTACTTTTGAGACAACAAAGCAAATCTGACTCTAAACACACAAGGATGAGCAATTACACTATTCTGCTGTGTAAGAAAGTTTCATTTGTACAGTCACTTTTCTAAGTAGAATAATACCTTAAAGTAAAACTGTAAAGCAAAGAGAACTTCAACTGCTTTAGCTAGCTGAAGGAATATTTACAACAAACAGAAGCGTATTTTCAAAACATTTTTTAGAAAGGCATATTAAGAATTATCTCTCCCTGTATTTGTGAATGATTTCTGCATTTTTGTAGATG